AAAAAAAAAAAGTTCATGCAGTGGTTATAAAATTACAGGGGATGTTATCTTAATTTGTGTAATTCTGTCAAAGCAGTTATCACTCAATCTCACTGGACAAGACATTTTAAAATGGTCATAAATGCTATAGTTACAAGTATTTTTCATTGCTGGGCTGTGCTGAGGGTATCCCTCCAACAAGTTCCCCTGGCTGGCTGGCCTCAACCCTCGCTCTGTTCCTGTATGTGGTCTTAGACATGGATTCTGAGACCCTCATCTGAAAATGGGCATTGTGTGCTCTATTCTCCACAGGGTTATGATAATAGTCGCATGATGAAGCCACATGGAAGAGGACACCATGGAAGGCGGGCACACAGAACAAGGCACAAGCAACACGGCCTCCCTGCGCAGGCCTGCACTGTGGACAATGATGCCTGTTAATTCATATGCAGGGAAATAAGGATCTACTAAGATACAATGGATTCTATCAAAGTGTTAATTACTAACAAAGAGAAGTACAATCACTAGTTTATTATTTACCTTTAAATTTTCAGCAGTGAAATAGACAGGAAAATAGCACTTAGCAACCAGAGAACAGACAGATCAATTAGATGCCAGGAAGGAACGCTGAGCTAACAAGTTCATCAAGTAGGAAGCAGAAATGCTACAGAACATTAGTGTTAATCTCCTAATGAGCATCACGTTCCACCTGAACCCCAACACTTACTTTGCCATCCCCTTTGGGGTTTAGATAAACCACATAATGTCCACCATGGTTATCTCCACTGTGAACCAGGACTGCATGAAGAATGTAATTTGCAGGGTCCTTAGGATCTGTTTTTTGCAAAAATTCATCAAGGGGTAACTGTTCAGGAAATTCAAACCTATTAAAAAGAAATTCATTTACACATAAAATATCACACCTTTCTATTTTATTTATTGTAAAGTCATCCAATTTATTGGCTCAATGTTAAGAGGAAAAGTATGAATCTGGCTTAAGACACCTGTGAACTACTGTTGATGTGGCTACTGCTTATCAGAACTAATTTCTTCATGTCAACATAAAATTTGAACTTAGATCTATGAAGAAAATGGGAATAAAGCATTGAGATCCCTAGTAAAGTCTTAAATACAAGGATATTATACAAAATACAATATGAATTCCTAGGCTGTGGATAATTCCAATCAAAAACAACCCTAAAGGCCCAAGAATTAGACCACTGAGGATAACACAACACTTTGCAAAGTGGGGAAAAACCAAACTCCAAAAGATTAAGTGAAAAAGATTTCCACATCCTGATTTATATTGACATACTGAAGGTGACTTGGTTTTAAATTATAGGCTTCTTGGACAGTGCCTGTGGCTCAGTGAGGAGGACACTAGCCCCCATATATGGAGGGTGGTGGGTTTGAACCCGGCCTGGCCAAAACTGCAACAAAAAATTAGTTGGGCGTTGTGGCAGGTGACTGTAGTCCCAGCTACTTGGGAGGCTGAGGCAAGAGAATCACCTAAGCCCAAGAGCTGGAGGTTACTGTGAGCTGTGATGCCACAGCACTCTACCGAGGGCTACAAAGTCTCTTTTTAAAAAAAATTATAGGCTTCTTAAAATTTGGTCCTTTTTTTTTTTTTTTTTTGAGATAGTCTTACCAGGTCACCCTTGGTAGAGTGCCGTGGCGTCATAGCTCACAGCAACCTCCAACTCTTGGGCTTAAGCAATTCTATTGCCTCAGCCTCCCAAGTAGCTGGAACTACAGGTGCCCACCACAACACTTGGTTGTTTTTAGTTGTTGTAGTTGTCATTGTTGTTTGCCAGCCCTGGGCTGGGTTCAAACCCACCAGCCCATGTATGCGGCCAGTTTCCTAGCTGCTGAGATACAGGTCCCAAGCCAAAAATTTGTTCTTGATCTAATTTCATCACGAGGGCTGCCAAAGCAAAGGGGACATAACCTGGCCTGGGGCAACCTCCACCTACCTCATATCTACACAGGAGCCTTTAGGAGTTTTGGCCCCTGGTTCCAAAATCTGGGGCCAAAAATCTAAACTGTGCCAGAAATCTAATGAGAACAGTCACTTTTTTTTATTTGCAGTTTTTGACCAGGGCTGGGTTTGAACCCGCTACTTCCAGTATATGGGGCTGGAGCCCTACTCCTTTGAGCCACAGGCACTGCCCAGAACAGTCACTTCTTGCACACTACACAGCAGTGCATGAAAATGGGCAATATGATTTGAGCCCACTCTCCCTCAAACTTGAAGGGTGACTGACCAACTCCTACTCTGCACAAAATCGGTGCTCAATCTAAACAGAGTAAGATATTTCTGTGTTCTAAATCAGACAGAGAAGTATGTCCTGTCACTCTTGAATCTGGAAAAACCATACAAAATGGGGGTAACATATATACCTACTTTGGCATTTTTGAAAACTTCAGTTAATTTCTAGATGTTAACACCAACTGAGAGATTATATAGTACTGAAAAATCTTATTTTAACAAACGTACTAGTATCAAATTTCATATCTGAGGTAATATCTACACTTTGGCTAAGATTAAAAGTATTAGAAATCCTGGTAAATGCAAGGAGAAATAATCTTATCCTGAGCCTCAGCTGCCCTCTGCAAATAGTGAGGTTGACGTCAGGGCAGCAGCCTTTAGGACAGTGTTTTCAACTGGCATGGCACGCTGGAGTGCTGGGAGAAGATCTTAGGTATGCCAAAATTGTTCAAGATCATTCACCAAATTATCTTTGAAAGAAGTTCAAAGCACAGTAAGTATATTCTTTTTTTTACTCTTTTTTTGGTCAACATAACTTAAGTGTGCTGTGGAAGTTTAACTATAGGTTCAAGTGTGCCCTGAGTTTAAAAAGGTTAAAAAACATTGCTTCAGAGCTGTGTTTCTCAACCTTCCTAATGCTGCAATCCTTTAATATATAGTTCCTCATGTTGTGGTAACCCCCAACCATAAAATTATTTTCATTGCTACTTCGTAACTGTAATTTTGCTACTGTTATGAATTGTAATATAAA